CTTGGGGCAGACCTCAGGGCAGTAGTCTCCTGACTTAGCTTGTCTTGGGTGGCTCAGGGGTTGGCAGCTGTAGCTGGTGTACCAGGTGATGAACAAGCGCGGAACCACTAGGACCAGTTGGGGGCCTATGTTTGGTAGGGCTAAGATGCCACGATCTTCCTGGTGGAACGCAGAGGGAGAGGCTCACCGGCAGCAGGGTTGGGAGGAGGCACTCACCACGTGCTGCCTACACCCACTCTTCTGCTTCTCTATTGCTTTCCTGTGCCCCAGAGGGCCTGTGACGGAGCGTGGCAGGAGCAGCAGCAGTTGGAGAAGTCCTGCAGGCCAGGTTGCTATGTGGGAGCTGGGGCTCGGAGAGAGGCCCTCTGGTGTTGGTGGGATGATGGGATCCTGGAGTGCTGGAGGTCAGGGGGCAGAGCTTCACTGCTCAGGAAGGGTGGGTGCATCTCCCTGTGGGCAGCAGGGTGCTGTGGTAATCAGGGTGTTTACTCCTAGGCATCCTGGGTGCCCTAAGAATGGGAAAATGGGTCTGCCAGGAGCAGGCATGAATGTGCTGACAGAAAGCCCTGCCCTCCAGAGAGCGGGATACCATTCCTGTCACCTTTCTCTAGGCTGAGCATCCCCATTTCCTGAGGAACTGCTGCTTGGGAAAGTCTCTCAAGTGTCTTTGTTGAAACCAGAGCTATTTTCAGAAGAGAGCCACGTTTGGTGTCTCCAGCCTTTGGCTGTGAGAGGAGGTAATGAGCTAATGGCCCTGTGCCCTCTGGCCTTCCCCGGAAATGGAGATGGCAGCTGGTATGATTGCCCGGTGCTGTGGGCTCACTTTTCTGGGGAGTTTTATTGGAAGGCAGAGGATTTCAAATGGCAGAGGGGTGATTTGTAGTTGTTCATATTTGCTAAACTGGAGGGTTTTCAGGCAGTCAGAGATATCTATTACCATTACTTCGTTAAAAAAATTTTTATTTCTTACTGCTTGTTCAAGTTGTTTTTAAACAAAATGGAAGACTCCTAGAGTTTAAAGAGAGAGATCTTTTCCAACTTCCAGTATCATGTAAATTAATTTGTCAGACTGTTCACTGAGAAGCTGCTGAGTGCTGGTGAGTTGGCATGGTGGGAAGCAGTTAACGCCTTGCAGGCTGTGGAGACCCTGCTCCTAACTCCTGAGGCCTGTTATTAGCAGACTTTGGAAAATGGGTGGGGTGCTGCCGTGCATCCTGGGATGGTGCTGTGTGGGTGGCGTCTCGGCTTTCCTGCCACTTCTGCAGGGACACTGGTTTTAAATGATGAAGTGGTCACTGGTTTGTGTTCCTTCTCTCTTTGAACTGCACTCCTTTTACTACTTTGTATACGAATGGCTGAAAACTCAAAAGCTGTAAACAGGTAGAGCAATGAATGGTCTGATGTGAGATTAGAGCCTGGGATGTGTAATGCTTTGCCTATCAGGTACCTGAGGTGTGTTCTCTTTTACACTTTCTCCTACACTTCCTTCCATTTTTCTATGACAGTAGTTTTGATTCTTTTTATTTTTCCATATGCGATAGTGATACAAGCCCAGGAAATGCTCCGCTGGCCTCTCTGCTAAGAGAAAAACAGTATGTGTATAATGATGAGCACATGACCTTGGCTCAGACTGCAGGAGGAGTTGGCAGAGACGGTGGCACATTGTGGACCTGTGTCCCTACCAGAGCGGACAGCCACATTCCTGTGGAGCCATGCAGGACCAGAGCTGCCAAGTCTTCTAATATGTACAGCAAAACTGTATGTTTTTATATGAGATCACCTTATTAAATTGGCAAATTAGAAAAATGACATAAAGGTGAGGCTGAGTGATTCACAGGCTAAACCGTGCCTGTTCACAGCGATGCCGTTGGATCTCACCTTCGCCTTGCGGAGATACTTAGAGAAAGTGCATTGCTTATGTACGTCTTTCCGTCATTCCTGTGCTTGCTCGTGCAGACTCTTGTTGTGACAATGTGGGTGGGACGTTGTGCTCGACACGGGAAATGCTATAAATACGGCTCAGTCCTTCCACGAGAGCTGGGCACCATTCCTGTCACCTTTCTTTAGGCTGAGCATCCCCATTCCCCAGACTGTCTTGGTGAAGCCTCATTTCCCCAGCTCTCCTTCAAGCTGCTCTGCTGTTCTGGAAGCACCCTGGGGCCAGCTGTCTCCTGGGACACTGCCTGCCCTACTCTGCCGCCCATAGCTAGAGTGGAAAGTGTCGCTTTGTGAGCTTCCTGCCCTGATGTCCTTGCCTGCGGGGTTCTGCCTCTGTCCACCTTCTGCTGAGGGGCCTCTCTGGTCTCACTGTGCTGAGTCTTCTGTGTGTCCCCTTGAGCCTGGCACCATCCCTGACACATGCTCAGTTCTCACTGACCCTGAGGAGTAGTGGAAATGAAACGCAGCTCGACTCCTGCGGTTCCCATCTCTGACTTTTGGTTTGGTTTGTTTTCGTAGCCAGGGCATATTAACTGTGGCTTGAGTGCAGCTGAACACCTCTTTATAGTTTTAGTCTAAGTTGAAAGTGTTGCATTCTCTTTTATATGCCGAAGTGGATCTTTATTCTGTTCACTATTCTTACAATTAATAATTTCAGCTAGACCTGGTGGTGTCCGCGCCTGTAGTCCCAGCACCCCCGGGAAGCGGAGGCAGGAGGATTGCAAGCTTGAGCCCAGTCTGGGCAACCTAGTGATGTAGTGAGGCTCTGCTCAAAATACCAAGGCAAAAAAGGGCTGGTGTGAAGGCCTTGGGTTCAATCCCTGGTACTGGGAAAAAATAAAAAATTCAGCTATTCATTCTTTGACTCTCAATCAGGCTTACAGCACGTTGACTTCTGTTCCCACGTACAAGTATTTGTAATCCCGATAAGCACACACTCTATAGTTTAATCATTTAAGTCTTTGATAAAAATATTGGGAACAATAGATAACAGCACGTGGACATACGTTGAACGTCTCAGTTCAGGAAGACACTGATTTATTATTTCTCACCACTCTTTGCTCTGTGTTACTACAAATCTGTCTTAAGCTATCTTGTATGCAGGGAGATTTCAAGAAATCTTGACAAGTGCTTTTGTTAAAATAAAGATGTGGTGCATCTGTCACATTCCTCTCCCGTTAAATTATGAGGCTCATCAGCCAGCCCCTCTTTTGTGAATCCGTATTAGCTCCCAGAATCAGAGATTCCTTTTCTTTTCTCACAAAGGCAGATGTCCCTAAAATCCTGATAGCATCTTGTCTCAAGCTAACCTATCCCTAGTTTGGAGAATTCACTTTCCATCTTTTTAGACCTTGCTACTTTTATAACTGACGTGGTGATATACATTCGTGTGAGCCAGGGCCCTTGCGAGGACACACACACACACACATACACAAACTGTGAAACATTATTTCTCGTTATTTCCTTATAGAAAATTCCTAGAAGTAGACTTCTCAGAGAAAGGGTACATTCTTTTTAAAGCCTTTGATAAACGTTGCCAGTCAGAGAGACCTCCAGTGGACGCCAGCAGGCTGCACCGGAGGTTATCCCTGATGGGGTACAGAAGGAGGCGGTCGCACCATGGTTGGTCTCCCTCTTCTTCAGGCTCTCCAGTCTTGAGTTTTCTAATTTCCCACAGCTTTGCCACCCACCACTTGCAGGCCCCCTTGCAGTGGAGTGTAGGCCACTCTCCCTGCTGTGGCTGCACTGGTCTATTCCCTAGCTCAGCCCCTGTTTTCCCTTCCATAGGTTCCTGCTCACTGGGCTCCTCTGTTCAGGGTGCTTGCCAGCTGGTGGTGAACACACACCAGTGCCTGGAGTTGGGCCCTGTGCAACAATCCATTCTCCTAGTTCAGTTTTGGACTGTGGCTACTTCAAGAGGAGTGGGAGTGGATTCTTTTGCCTACATAAAACTTGAGATGTTTCAAATTCTGAGTTGAAACTGGGCATGAACCAAGTGAGGTATTTCAAGTATGTGTGCGTCATTTTTAAAGTACACTTTTACATTCTTGGTTGTTTTGGCAAAGAGGAGTTGTTTCTCTAAGGGAAGCAAATCAAGGGTCTGAGAATAACGACCTAGGATTATGGTTTGGTAAAACGGGTTAGAGTAAAGTAGACCAGAGTTAAGACAGCCACAGGTACTACTCAGGTTGTACACTTTCATGCTCCCCCAAAGAGCCATACCCTGTCCACTGCATCTTCTCTAACCCCACAGACTCGATTAGGGGACATTATGTCCTATTAATAAATTAAGGAAACTTGAAATATCTCTGTGTTTTGCATTTTTGTCTCCTGAAAATATTTTTTATTCTGTTTAAAAAAACAATTTCTCTTCCTTTGATGGATGTCTTTCAGTTTCTTTGTCGTAGTCTTAACAGCCAAATTCTGAGTTCTATGGGAATCTGTGTTACACGTTTTACCCAAATTCTGAAACGTCGTACTTTTACTCATCTTTTTATTTCTGCTGCCCCTGGTAATAGTGTGTAGCACCCTGTAAGTCTCCCTGTGAGCTGGTAATTAGATGATGCTTGCAGGAGTGTGGTCCCTGGTGGCACTGTGGGTGAGAGAGCGTGTTCAGGCCTGGATTGTCCCTCTGTGTCCACGGCCCTGGTCTCGTGGTTCTGTTAGTCTCCAGTAGCCCGGCTCAGGGGTCCACAGCACTTTGGACTTTGAATACTCGGCTGCTTAGGAGGGGCTGGCAGTAAAAGCAAGAATATTATTCAGGTGTCTGCTTGAGTTGTGAGTTGAGGGAAAACAGTCAGTTTCTACTTTCCTGCTTTCTCAGTGTGACCAAGGTTTTCTGAAATAACACTCTCCATTATGTATGCCTTGATTTCTGCAGACAGGACAGTTCTGAGATAGGAAAAGAAAGTGGTACTTATTCAAATATGAAATAACTCACTGTTGGGAGTCATTAAAAATAATTACCTAGCTTATCTTTTTAAAGTATGTTTTCCCTGTACTTTGCTAATAGCTCATTACAGGTTTTAATTTTTTCCTTGTTAACTTTTTTATAGGCTCAACATACTGCTGACAGGCATGGACCCATTCTACTTCCACGTGGTCAATGTGATCCTACACTACCTGGTGACCCTTGTGCTCATGTACACCTGTGATACAGCCGTCTTCAGGAGCCGGGGGCTGGCCTTCGCCACGGCCTTGCTGTTTGCCGTGCACCCTGTCCACACGGAGGCGGTGAGTGTAGAGAGCTCAGTGAAGTGACTGCCGGCAGCTGCGTGTATTTATTAGCAACACTGATCTTCTTTTTCGTTCAGAACCACATCCATTCAGAGCTCCGCTAATGTGTTTATATATAAATCCCCTGCTTGATGACTTTTCCTTTTGAATGCTCAAATTGGCTTTCTCGCACCACCAGGATATAACTGCTTTTCTAAATAGCCGCTGTTATTGTTACAGGTAGTAATGAATGGTCACAGTCTTTTTTATTTTCAGAAAATTTAAATCCAAATGTGTTTTTAGCAGCAAGGGATCTCTTGAGATTCTTGTGCCGTCATTGTCCCTGCTCCCCACTGATGTTTTCCTTCTCTCGCTCTGTTTTGTATTTACCATATTTATAATGCAGAACTCTTACGTGCTGGACCAGGAAGGATTAGACTGATATTCTGTATGTTAGAAACAGGATAATTACAAATTACTTTCCCAGTTTTTCAGTAAGTATAGTTATTTTGTGGTGATGAAAATATGTTTAGAAAGATTAACATACTAACAATTATGCATCAGTTAAGATAGCATTGTTAACCTACCTGGTTTCACACATTGGCCACCACAGCTACCTTATTTTATTTGCATTGCTAGGGGTAGGTGGAGACTTCCCAAGGAGTGCCTGGCCCACAGAGTTTAGAGTCTTTTGCACAGCTGCACCTGGCACCTGGCCACTTTCCTGCAGTTGACCTGCCGGAGAACACAGCTGTGGTAACCATGTCGCGCTTCTCTCTTCCTCACCTTGCTCTCTGTCACCCTTGAGGGGACACCTCATCTGTCAGGATCTTACCATGCCCCCATGTGCTCCGATTGGAGGTGCCTGCCCAGTGTGAAGGTGACCAGGAGGCTTCCTTGAGTTAGAGCATCCTGCACTGAGAGAAAGAATTCATATCACCCCCGTCTCCTATGCATTTCTGTGAAGGCCATCACAGTGTTAGATGAGTAGGACTGTGGCCTGTGTTGGTGTTTTGAACTCCAAAGTGAAATAGTTGTTATAAGGATGCATAAAAGCATGATTATGTAAACCGACCCAAGATGTCTGATTTGACTGATTGGTTTGATTATGAGGATTGATTTTTCCAGTTAGATTTTATGATGGCTATTTTCCACAAATGGAATTATAAATCTCTAAGCCCAAGGGGTTGAGAAATATTCATGTGTATATAAACATATTATATACACATATATTCTTTGTATTATAGTCATATATTTATTGGTAAAGGAAATTTATTTTATGAAAATATTACATTCTTAAGACAGTTTTGCCAGCTCTTTCTGAGTATATTAGACTGGATCAGCTGCTTCTGAGACGAGTGAGAATGTAAGTCATGGCAGTAACGTTCCTTTGGTAACTCTTGTTAAAGCCTTCTTGCTCTACTTGAACAAAACTGTGAATAGCTCAGGTGACTTTAATGATGGAGGCACTGAACTTCTTTCTTTTGATCAAATGAAAGGAGGACCTGGTTGATTTGTTAGGTGGCAGATCATTGAGCTATTGTATAAGATGATGGATCGCTGTGAGGATCGCTGTTGACCATGGAGGTTACAGCATTAAGTTGTTACTTTCACACACATACTTCTCATTAATGTGAGACAAAATGTGAGACAAAGGCAGGGAATAGAATGGATGCTGTGTGCTGTCTTATTCTAGAAAAGGTAAGATTCAGCTGTACCTAACTGAGCTTAGTGAAAAGAAACTCATTGCACTTACATGTTATTAAGATGGAAAATGTTAAATTTAATAACCATTTTGCTGCTTTAGTTATGATGTACTGAACAATTGTGAATTAACAATTGGAATGGTGATACAAAATTAAAAATTTAACACATGCTTATGATCCTTGGAAACTTTATAAATGAAATAATTTGGGGCCAGGGATATAATTCAGCAGTAGGGAGCTTACCTAGCGTGCTTGAGACCCTGGGTTCCATTCCCAGCACCACACACACCAAAACATCATATGTGTACTTTTCTTACATGGATAACATAATAAATAAAATATTTTAAAGCATAGCTATGTAATACCTTAAGAGAAAATGCTGAGGGGAAAATAAAAGTTCAAGTTGAAGAAGAAAGAGGGGTACAGTGTCCACCATTTAAAGAACTTACATGTGTGTGCATGGTAGATAAAGAGCTTGGAGTTGCTGTGGTCTTCAGATCCCACTGGGTACACTGAATTCTACAGTGCTGGTATTTACAGCACACGAGACATTCGGTCCTTTGAGGCATTTAAAATTATGATGACAAGCTGAGTGAGTGTGGTCATGCATACCTGTAACCCCAGCACTCTAGGAGGTTAGAGAAGGAAGATCACAAGTTTGAGTACAGCCTGACCCAGTCTCAAAATTTTAAAATAATTTTAAATTGTAGGGGTTGGGAGACTGCATGCACTCAGTGGGAAAGCCCTGGGTTCAATCCCCAGTAATGAACCTCCCCCAATATATATAGGATAACAGTTTCAAAATGATAAGTTTCTAATGTTCTCCTGGGACATAATATGAAGAAAAATAACCAAGGCATGTAAAATGTGAGACTCTGGGTCAGTGACATGTTTTAATCTCAGATCATAAGCAATATTATATTTTTGACAAATAGTTTTAAATTACACTTGAAAGTCTGAACTTAGAGTGTCTGATGGACAGGAAAGAGCAAATAAATAGGGCAACAACAACTTTATTCAGTGGTGCACGGACAGAGTGCATTCAACAGAGAGTTTTGGGTTGGGTGATCAGGAGCTGATAGAGCTTATGGTACATTCTAGGAAAAGAGGTACATTCAGCAAAACGACCTTTAACAAAGGTTTTCTAAGGATCATGTACTAATCATGGAAAAAAATCCATAATATAATTAAAGGGACAAAGGAGTCTGGGAGCTAGACATTTATTTGGGAAAGGTATTTATATTTGCAGAAAGATACAACCCATATAAGAAAGGTATAAAACAATTTGATTTCCAAAACAAAAACACTACAAAGTGAAATAGATTGCTATTTAATTATATATTTCAACGCAAATTTCTGAGGACAGAGAAATAGAAAGGGAGATGTACTTTGTAGAAGATAGGGTGATGAGATATTTAAACACATAGACAAACCCTGGTGTGGTGGGGAGGGAGTTACTTGGAAGTATCTCTCCTTTGTTAAGCAAGAATAAAAACAGGACCATAAGTTATCTCAGGATGGAGAATTTAATTTTAGGGTTGGGATCAGGCTTAGAAACACTGATAGGATTTTGTATGGACGTGTTGATAAGATGGAGGCCTTATTTTAGTAGTTACACTTATTTTAGTAGACAAGTATTGAGTTACTGAGCTGTGCTTGGTGCAGAACTTCTACAGGCCCCAGGGGAATGTGTGGTTGGGTGGTGGGACCCTTTGCTCAGCTTAGTAGACAGGGACAGATTCATCTGTTCGCTCAATCTTTCAGCAAACATTTGAGAGCATACAGCACATTGGACATAGAATATTGCTGTTGGGCAACGGCAATAAGTAAGGGAGACCCAGACACTTCAGTTTTTGAGGTGCTTGGAAGGGTTTCTGGACATTGCATTTCTTGGGAAATGCGTATATTTTTCTAAACAACGAGAAAAATCAGTGGAGAAATAAGGAACATTATTGTAGTTCTGCAAGAATTCGGACATCATCATCATCATCATTTTGGACAAATATATTGTGACAAGTTGAAAGCAAGAATAGGAAGAGCTAACGTTGGAAGATGTCTGTATTTCTAGAGCTGTGATGGGAGGATGGAGGAGACAATAGCTTATGGTCTTAGCAGTTGGTCTGGCCTGTAGCTATTGCCATGTATTAAATTATGTGCTGTAGCACTACTCAAATGGAGCTCATTCTATCAGATAAAATACATAATAACCATGCTATACAAAGAGCATACTTTACACAAATCCCATGAGCGGTATTGCAAAAAATAAGTTGTAAGAGCAAAGTAAGACCTAGTTGGCAAGTTCCACATGGGATTCCATTAACCTTGCTGGGAGATTTCTAGGTTACATTACAGGTTCAGTGTTCCTCACCTTAAACCCAAAATACTTGAAAATGTGGTACTTTCAGAGTGTCGACATGATGGCACAAGTGGAAAAATTGCACACCTGACGTCACGTGACAGGTCGCACTCAAAAAGTACAGGTGGATACTGTATAAAATTACCTTTGTCTCTACAAACATAGGGGTATTTGGGATTACACTTGGGTTCCCTCCCCAGAGTATCTCATGTTATACGGGTAAATGTTCTGAAGTCGGAAACTCTGGTCCCAAGGACTTTGAGAACTCCATCTACTTTTGATGTTTTCTCAGTGTTTGGTTGTTGGTTGAGGACTCTAGTTCCTAGGTTAAACCAATCTCTGGTGGATGGAGACCTGCTGTCTTTTCTCGTTACTGAGACCAGATACCTGATGTCCACAATTAAAGGAGGAAAGGTTTATTTCAGCCCACAGTTTATGGAGGTTCAGCCCATCATCAGCTGGCTCCAAAGCAGGGTGGCAGGGCAGAGGAGCAACACAGAGACAGTCCTTGGTGTGGTGGGCAGGAAGTAGCGAGCTTGCCTTTTCCTGTGTCATCGCTGAGGGTCTTCAGTAAATACATTCAACCAAACCCAGAATTATACTCATTCCAATCAGTGAACTAATTTAGTACCATGCTAATCCCAGTAGCCTAGATCCAGCCAGTTCTGAAAAGCCCTAGCTATGAGCACATGAGGCTTTGGGGGGAGGTCTAGATACAAGCTATAACACCTGCTGCTTAAATCCAAAACACACACTGTCCTTTAGCATATATTTTTTTAACCTCCTTACCATAATTGACCAGTTGCTTTAAAAAAGTATTTTTCTTGTGGCATTGGATGTTTGACCCAGGGCCTCATGTGTGTGGCATTTTTTTTCTGTCACTGAGCTACACCCCCAGCCCTTTTTATCTTTTGTTTTGAGACAGAGTCTTGTCAGTTTGCCCAGGCTGCCCTTGAACTAGTGATCCTCCTGTGTCAGTGTCTCTAGCACCTGGGGTTACAAGTGCATGCCACTGTATCTGACAACCATTCTTTTAATATGGTATATTCAGCCTGCCCGTTTGTAGAGCCGAGTCCAACTGCACAGACCTGACAGTCCCTCTCTGCTTCCAATGCCCCTTTCTTTTCTGGACACCATGCTGTTCATCACTGCCAGCCGCCCTTCCAGAAATACTCCATGAATCGTCAGACCTTTTTCCCTGCCCCGCTTCTGTCCTCCACCTGGAGTGCATTCCGATTCCTCCCCTGGTGCCGACATCACATTCCTCATCGTGAGCTTCCTGAAATCATCACCTCCTGTCCTTAAAGCCTCAGATTGCAAAGCCAGCCATTCCATCCAGCCTCCCAGGGACCTCTGGTCAAAAGTAATCCTCTCCGCCTTCTCCTTGCAATGATTTTGCCTCTTCCCATGCACATGACTTCTTTATATCGTATTAGTACCTCTTCTGATGCCATCAGATGATAAGGTCCCTCCAGTCGGCATGGTATCTGGCAAACAGGAGGCACTTAGAACATTGTGTTCCCCAGGATAAGCACAATCACTAAGCTCAGTGCTCTTGATTAATGGAAAAATAGGCGAAGGCTGCTCTAGCCACATAGCAGATGGCAGACACCCCACCCTCAGCGAGGATACACTGCATTCTTAGGGGTTTGGGCTGGCCAGGCAGACTGCTGGTTACCGCTGACATTTCAGCACTCCCTCGGGGCTTCGGTTCTGAGGGACTCGGGATTCTCCATGTCTTGGTACAACGCACTGCTGCTGCTTCCAGGCTGGCTGCGGGGGAGAAACGGGGCTCTCAGATACCTTTAGTGCATTAGTTATGCTCGCCTGACTTGCGGTCTCCTCATTCCAGTGTCAGTTTGCTCATCTTGCCGTCGGCCTGAGCAGTTGTGACGAGCATTGCTCTGGGCCACACTAGCTTTACTCCAAGACTCTGGTGGGCTTGCTGTTTCCTCTGTTTAAGCTTTGCGGGCCTTGCTGTGATGCTGAGCTGCAGGTCCAAGGAGGCTGTGGTGTAGACTGAGTGGGTGCAGGCTTCACCCAGGACCTGTGTGCAGTGGTTGCTCTGCAGACCGAGAGTCTGAGCTGTGTCTGCACACCATGGTAGTCCTATGCTTCCCCAGCCGACACGACTGAGCTTGGATTCCTGATAGATTAACCAGCCAGTGAGCAGTGTGTGGTCAGCAAGAGCTTTCAGCTCTGGGCTGCCTGTGCAGTGCTTTGCCAGGTCCAGCTTTCTCTTAGTGCTAGACTAGAATTCTTTTCATTATATGACTTGCTGTCAATGTGCATATACTTGTGTTACTTTTTACTAAGAGTCTTAACTGTTAGGTATATTAGACTATCTAACAAAGTGAAGTTAAGGTGTCATATGTGTCAATTTTAGCATGGAGAGATGATTTTCATAAGCCATGCAGGGACCTATGTCACTGTTGTGAGCTTCACCCTCTTCTCTGAAGGGAAAAGGAAGAAAGAAGTCGCACCAACATTCTCCAGGAGGGCACTTATACATGAGTCATTGCTTTAGAGGCAACCATCACAGTCACACCCAAACCAGATCTCAGAAGCAGCGATCACCACTCAGATGGCAGAGGAGTCTATCCTGACGCCTTGGTGGCCTGGTACTGGGAATTTGTGGTTTGGACTGGCACGGTGCCCTTACCACGGAGTAGCCTGCTCACCGTGGAAAGGCGTGTGTGTGTCTATTTCTGAGGAAGTTATTTGCTGCTGCTGTTGAGTGATTCTTGAACACACGGGACCTCAGGCTCTGTTCGACTAGAGGTGCTGATTTCTGTGCCCATGTTCTCCTTCCCTTGGGAGCTGTGTATCACCCAGCTCTTTTGGGAGCTTTTCTTGGAAGCATTTTAAAAGCTATATCCCTTTCTCCTTTACATTTTCTTTGATTCTAATGACAGGAAATGCACAAATATCTTATATAGCAAAACAATGCACAGACTCATAAAGAGTTGTCTGTCTCCTACTCCGCTGCCAGCTCTGCTGAACTTACCCATCTTTGAAATAATTTCGATCATAAAAAATATGCAGAATGACTATTCTTTCTCACCATTCACAAGTTTTTAACATATTGGCCCCCGTATCACTCTTCCTTTCTTTCTCCCTCTGTGAAAACGCTGTACTGTGTCCTGAAGCATTTGAGAGTGGGGTGCAGAACTCATGCCGCTTTCCACATTAATGATCCAGTTGTTTGAAACAGAGAGCACCACTCATAATTGCTTTTTAGTCTTGTTTAGTTTGGAATGGCTGCTGATCTTTATTGTCTTTCTAAAATTCATGCATTTAATATAATTTAGAATTTATTTTAAACATGTATAATATAAAGTGCTTATATTTATGATTGTAATACATAAATGTTATGTACCATATGCAATTATAATATAAATATGCATTATGTAAATATATAATTTGCAACATACAGTTAGCATATAGTAAAATTTGTAATGTAAATAAAAATAGTATAGTAAATACAAATTACACTTGATCTTAGCTAAAAGGTCAAGAAGCAATAGTATAGATACAAATTACTATGATATGTAGTATAGTAAAATTGAATGCTATAGGATATTAAAATCTGTAACATAAATAAAATAATATAGATGTAATATGTAATCTGTAACTATATAATACATAATATGTAAATACCTAGAATGTCTAAAATTTAGTATCCAACATATTAATGAATTAAGTGCATGAATAACACAGCATATACCTCTGCAGCATGTAATATATATAATATTATGAGTATAAATTGCAATATAACTAGGAATAATATAAGCCAGAATATATTAAAGTATAATAAAATGTAATATTATAAAATATTAATAGGTTATATTTTATAACTTTTAAACGTATATTTATATTTAACATAGGGCTTGTCTATATTTATAGACTTGAGTTTATGTGACTCTTCTTGTGATTATATTTAGGGTTTAGTAAACCTAGCTAGAATAATGCATAAATGATAGTTTCTTCTCAGGGGTGGTGACTTTCATTTTGATTCCTCAGAGAAGGTATAAGGTATTGTAGTACATTTTCTCTGTAGTGTATTTTTAAAATTTTCCTAGACAGTAAGTAGTTGATAAGGAAATACTTGAAGCCAGGCTAATATCTTGTACCTCCGGAAGGTTTAGCACTGTTTTTCCATTGTAGGGCTCTAACCTAGGGCCCTATGCTGATGGGCAAGTGCTCTGTCATGGAGCTGCACCTCTAGCCATATTGATATTTTTGATGTTCCTTGCTTTACCTTTACTCTTTTGGAAGCAAAGTGCTGATTTTCTGTCTCCTTTCTGTCTGCCTTTTTAATGAAGCAAGCAGTGGCCTCCTTTCTCAGCCCTTGCTTGCTCTTGTATGTGTATACCTGCGTGTGTGTCCTTCATTGACCCTCAACATATGATTCATATGCTTGCATGGATTTCTGTTTCTCCAATGGCTTATAATATATTTTAGCCCTCATTTGTTTCAGTATTAAAATCATCTTAGTGTGGTCAGTGAGAGCCCCTCGTGGTTGGCTTCTGTGTCCTTTTGACTCATATTTTCCATACTTCCTAATTTTTTTGACATGGACAGATGATCTAAGCCCCTCTGGAATCTCCCACCCTCCACTCTGGACTTAGCTTCTACTTTAAGGAGCTGGTGTCTTTAGGGGAGAATGGCTCATGGTTGGTGCTAGGATGGCTCTTTGCTACTGGGGTGTATTACTTTTAAGCTCTTTCAGTGGCAGAGCAAAACACACACACATGCACATGTGCTCTCTTACATGAATGTACACTCTTGTTTAGTAATTATGAGTTCAGACTCATTCTGAATTTTTCTTTTCTAAAGTATAATTCTTCAGCTTATTTTTTTTCTGTAATGTGAATATTCTCTGCTCCATTATCATTATGATGCTCAAAGACTAGCACAGTGTCTGACATGCAGTGTTTGTTCAAAGGATTTTGTGTGTGTGTGTGTGTGTTTTGCTGGGGCTCAAACCCAAGGCCTTGTGCATGGTAGGTAAGGCTCTACTACTGAGGTGCACCCCCAGCGCTTAAAGATTTTCATGATAAATCAGTAAATGAATAAGCTTTGGTGTTGTTAATCGTCTTTCTACAGAGAAGTTAAAAAGTAAAGTATGAAAATTTTGCCCTTCCTATTTTCCTTCCATTATAGCTTATTGTTGAATATATAGAGTCCATCAAAAATATATACACACTTCAGAAAAATAAAAACTTGTATACATAATATATAATTTATTGAAACATGAGATTAATGTGTTACCTTTGGACTCTACAGTTGTAAGAGGTGCTCAGAGTGGTGTCCATCAGCTTCCAGACATTTCATAGTACAGGGAACTGCTAACGTGTGTGTACAGTTTCTTGGTGTATTCTATGTGGACGAGTTAGAGGTGGTTAATCATAAAGGAGAATTTGAAGACTAATGCATTTTCTAGTTTCTTATACCTTTCATTCATCTAAAATTAAAAAAACATTTCTGTGAGGTATTCTGAGAGTAACTTTCTGAGTTTTAAATGTGTTACTGTGTTAAATTCCTAGGTGGCTGGGATTGTTGGCAGAGCTGATGTGTTGGCATGTCTCTTGTTTCTGCTGGCCTTTCTCTCCTACAACAGGTACGTATGGCTCAGTGAACCGTGCTGGGGAGAGCGGGGAGACTCTGTGCCTGTGAGTGCTCAGTGGACCTCAGGGATTGCAACCCTCTTCTTACCCTATACAGGGTTCATGTTCATGTCTTTTTCAGTCCCACTCAGAACTGTTATCATATCGTTTTAAAAAGACTATGAGCCCAAAGCTAGAAACCTAAGCTTTTGCTTCCTGATTCCTTTTACTTGTAGTTCCTGGCTGTGAATGGAATTTGGAATTTTAGCTTTGAGCCAAAATATACTGGGTGTAGCACTCTAGCCTATCTGTTTATGCTTTATTTAATTTCTCCTTTTCTTTTTGGTCCTAATTTTGCCCTCTTTGTTATCCTCACCAAACCAACTCTGAGTTTAAAACAAGGCTGAATAGAAGGTAGTGTTTCTCAGCCATAGTTTTCTAGCCCACATTCCTTTCATCAAAATACAGATGCTTTTTGCCTTGGGAAAATGAAAAGCAATAAAATAATTTTCCATTAGACTGTGCCTTCATTCCCGGGCAGTCACATTCTCACCTGTGTAGTGGGAATCCACACAGGGAGGTGGTGGGGCGGTGGGTGGATTGGGAACAGAGTGTGAGCACGGCAGAGCGGTTGGAGCCGAGTGTGGCCCCCAGAGGGACGCAGGGCAGCTGTGTCTGCTTCCTGGGCAGATGCCCACGTAAGGGACTGTGAACTATGATCTTCAGCTTGGCTCACTGACATTCATCTTACAGGGTCCAGGCCTCTCTGAGGAGCACTGTGCTCTACTCCTGGTTCTTCCTCAGGAGTATCTCCCTCCCTTCTCAGCTGCCATCCCCACCCTCCCCCTGGAAATCCCTGGAACTCTGGCTAATGTCTGCAGACGTTTCTGTTGGCACAGCTGAAGGGGTGCCACTAGCCTCCAGTGGCTCACAGCCAACAGTGCTACTAAATAAACACCCCGTGACCCAAGGGTACTAAACAAGTGTTCCCAAACAAAGAGTACATTGCTGGGAAGTGCCAATAGTGCCAAAAGTCAAAACTCTCTTATAAACCAGTGGAAATCTTGGATCAGCAGTGAAATGAATTAAGGCTCATGAAGTTTTGTTACAAAGGGTGGAGCCTCTTTCTAGAATAGTGTTAGTCTCCAGGTCCTGGCTTTGCAACCTCCCACTAAATTTGTAGTCATGAATAGTGTCATGAAATGTTAAAATTTCAGCCCCAATTTACCATTTGTTTCTTCTTTACTTGGGTGTTGGACCAGAATTAATTGCTGTAACTTAAACTGGTTCTCTGGGGCGTCCTCTGTGTGGGTGATGTGTGAAAATCTCATTAGTCTGGCAGCAAGTCCACAGCTGTGTGGTAAAGAATGTGTCATGACAGGTTGGTGGTGTGCTCTCTGCTCACCTTTGTACTTTATGCCATAGAACAACTCCCTAGAAAAATGTGTATCTACTGTAAAAGTTGCATATAAGTTATTTGATGGTTCTAAGACTGAACAATAGGAAGATATCACAAGCTCAGAAGTACTGGCCTGCACTTGAGTGGGCCTGAGTGAGCTGGGGTGAGGCACCTGCTAAAGGGACAGGGATGTTTTGGGGCTGTTTCTCTTTCATCGGTGGAAAGAAAGACATTGTAGCACTCTAGAGCTTTGGAGAATTCATGTTGCGAGTTAAGCTGAGAAGAAATAAACTCTACCCAGTACGTGCTTATGGAAAATAAATGTTAAAACATGGATTGGCTGAAAGAAAAGAAAAGTGAAAATCTCACAGAAATGCTGCTTTCTTTTGGTGTCTACGTGACTGACTCCTTCATTTTGCATGGGCACTTCCGCCTAAAGATGGTGACAGGCTTGGCGTGCCCTGAGACGTTCACTCAGCCCCCTGTGGCACAATATTCCCATCTCACACATGGGGGACGCAGAGTCCAGGGAGCAGAGTGGCTGCTTTACCTGACCCTGGAACACATGTGTTCCTGGCAACTGTCTAGAGCCAGGAGTGTTGTTAGTAACTTTTATTGTTTCTTAAAAAAGCATTCTCCTAAACATTTTTCTGCTCTGCTGAATATACCTCTATGGTAGTAGTTTAAATGGCATTTTAGCATTCATTTGTTATTAACCCTATTTTACCATAATTTGTGTATACCATAATTTAAGCACTATGTTTTGTATTGTTAGATATTTACTTTTTTTTCTATCTTTGAAATTTAAAGTCACTCCATGGTGAGGCTTCTTGAAGAAATCTTTGCTAACCTGCTTACTTGCTTAGGGTCCAATGAAACTGACACAGATCTTACCTTTAAATGTCTTAAGTGACCCACATTTCTGAGGCTGAAAGACTGTCTCCCGTCTTCTAGGAGTCTGGACCAGTGTGGTGCTGCAGGCGAGCTCCCTCCCTCGGCTTCAGCCTTCTTCCTGCTGCTCAGTTTGGTTCTGGGGACCTGTGCGATGCTGGTGAAGGAGACGGGTGTCACCGTGTTCGGAGTGTGCTTGGTTTACGACTTCTTTTCCCTCCCCCACAAGCAGGACAAGTCGTAAGTCACTTTAAAGCGCTAATAGCAGGTTGTCTGGGATGACAGTTAGTTTCCCCAAAACTGGATAATACTTTGTTAAGTGCAGTCTTACAGACTGTGATACATTAAACAATGCTTATTCTATTAAGATAAACGCATGGTGTCTGCCTAGACTTTTTATATTTTTATAAAATTCAGGAAGGATTGTGGAGTTTTGGGGACCCCCAAGTTACAAACTGAAAAAAATACTCCTGTGAACTGCAAGTTCATATTGCTGGTTTGTTTTGGTCGCACACTGCTAAGAGCATCTTCATCACACAGAATGGTTGGAGCGCTACTGATTTTTAACAGCTTGCTGTGTATTTCTGAGCATGAGTGAGTTGGTCTCTAGGAGCACTGCTGAGTTGGAGTCTATGCTCCTCCAGGGATGGCCTCACCAGAGTGTTCAGCAGAGCCTCTTGGCATTTACCCCCAGAGCCAGGCTACACCAAGCAGCAGCATGGACTTACATGGCATTTTCAACAATAGACTTAGTAGCCCATTTGCATTTACACAATTTAAGTCACATTCATTTTATTCTGTTCCTTGCAGATGATAAGAGTAACTGAGATACATTAAAAAACCAAGCAAATACCCTAATTTCCTCCCCTATCAAATCCATAATTACCTACAGTTTTACATGCAGACTTAATTTTTCAGTAATTATTAGGCTCTGACTTTTGAACTTCTGAACACATGGTTAATTTATTTTCCTTCCTTGTCAGATGAAGGATTTTGCTTTTTAAGAAATCCCACCTTTTTTGTCCCATTTCCTACCTCTTTATACTTTCAGACATAAAGATAGGCACAGTGCTGTTGTGTGAGATGTCATTAATTCTGGTCACTTTTCTTCATGGGGTGTGATGGTTGGAGATAACAGAAATATTGGGGGGTGCTTGGCCAGGCCCTGTGAGCTGCAGAGGGAGGCCTGTGGATAAAGCCCAGTTAGGGCTTGACCTGAGCTCCACCTCGCTGAAGCAGCCTTGAGCAGAGGCCTCCCCTCGCTTGTGCACAGGTAAATGAAGGTCTTTCCTTGCCAGCCTGAGGCTGTTCACTGTGCTGCTGACCTTGCTGCTCAGAGAAGTACCTGCAAATCCTTCTTGCTTCCCCCTTTGCCCTTGCATCCACCCTGTTGCTGCCTGAGCTGCCTCCCTGGAGGCAGAAGGACAGGACAGTGGACTGCAGTTGCACGCTCCACCCATCCTGTCCACAGCTGTCTTGATGCTGTCATGGAAGTCACATCTCTGGGCCTGGGACCCTCCAGCTCTCCACTGTACTTCTTTCTTTCCTCCTTACTCTGTCACTTTTGAGTTGGGGATAATTGGCTCGGTGCACACCTATAATCCCAGTACCCAGGGAGGCTGAGACAGAAGGACTGAAAATTTAAGCCCAGCCTTGACAATTTAATGACTTAATGAGACCCCATTTCAAAATTTAAAAAAATGGTGGGGGATGTAGCTCAGTGGGCTGGCCCTGGGCTCTATCCCAGTACTTCCTCTCCTCCTCCACACAAAAGGGTTATTTTCTTTAATAATCTTTTTTACCTTCATCTTATTAAACTATTAGAAATTTCTGGGGAGGACTGATATTGCTGATAAATGATTTAGAAGTTGCACAGCACCCTCACACCCAGCAGCACAGCACGGGGAGTGGCATTCCTTCTTTCCTTCAGCCCTTTGTCTAACTGTTCGGCACACAGCCATTCTGTGCTTGGACAAGATCAGGGCCAAGGTGCTTCCCTCCCCAGGGAGCAGAGAGGGTGCTGGGGGTGACATCTTCTGTAGAAGTGGCTTGGGACTTGGCAATGGTTGTGAAAATGGGAGGCAGGAATGGAGCACGTCAGATGTGGAGACGTGGCCCTGGAGGCTGCACGTGCTTTAGTGCTGGCTGTGTGTCTGGCGCTGTGCCTACTGTGCAATCTTGACAGCCATGTGTTTGTGTCACAGACGCAGAGGGCACCCCCTGCAGTCACCCAGTCCAAGTGTGACCAAACATGGACCCCTGTCTGTGTGGCTCCTGAGTGTTACCCTGAGCACTGTGTGGGAGGACATGACTTGTCACAGGCTGGCTTAGTGGTTCTGAGCAGTTGGATGTCTGCTGGTTGGCACCATGACAAGTTAGACCAGCCTAACCAATAACAAATGCTGGTGGGGCTGTGGGACAAAGAAACCGTTCTCCACCATTGGTGAGGGTATAGACTGGTGCAACCCTGTAGGAATCAGTGTGGAGATTCCTCAGAAGACTAGGATTAGAGGTTCCACATGATCCAGCTCCCCTGCTGGGTATCTTCCCAAAAGAATTAAAAGTATCATACAACAGCAATGTATGCTCACCCACGTTTATAGTGGCACAGTTCGTAATAGCTAAAACTTGGAAATAACTCACATGCCCATCAACTTGTGATTGGATAAAGATTTTTTTTTAATAAAATGGAGTGCTATTCAGCTATGAAGAAAGACAAAGTAGAGACATTTAGAGATGTGGATGTACCTTGAGGCCATAGTTTTAAGCAAAATAAATAGGACACACAGGTAAATACTGAATTGATTCTCTGATGTGAGAAACTGAAGGTGTAAATGAGGACCAAAATGTATACTAGATATTGTGAAATAGGAAGAAAATGTTCAAAAGGGGAAGGGAACAGGGAATAAAGGGGTAGAGGGGGAGAAAAAATAAAGCTTATGTAAATAGGGGTAGAGGAGTTGAAAGGAGGGAACGGAAATGGGAAAAAACAAGAACTAAGATATATCATGTACAGGTACAAATTCCCAGTAATGCATGTGATCAAAATGTATACCTAAAATGCACCAATAAACTTTAAAAGAAGGCCAGGCTAGAGCTTGAGAGCCTTGAGAGAATTTCAGATTTGTCACTAAACTGATGCATTGACACACGCACATGCACACACACACCCACACACACTATATTTGCTAGTGTAGAGGACACATTATAGCTTTTGGTGGTTCCTAAAATCTTTCATTGTACCATCCAGGCAATAGGGAAAAAGCTGCTGCTGGAGGCCCTTCCTGGCCTATCAGAACAGCTATTTATTCTTGTATGTAAGTCTGGGCCACTTGAATGCGGTGGGGTTCTTTCATTTGATGTCATCTTTAGGAGGAGACATTTAAGGGAGGATAGGCTTCGTAATGACAGCGTCCTTTTTTTCGTCTTCTTTTAAAGATTAGCATATATTTCCAGCCTATGGAGAATGAGTCCCTGTGTTCTCTCTAGAGATAACCTCAATCCTGAACTTGGCACTTTTCGTCTCTATTTTGTTTTTGTGGTATTACTTCATGTGTATGTGCCAGTGAATATGAAGTAGTAGTATTTTACGTATTTTCTAACTTCACATTAATGTGATTACTGCTCTTTTCTTTGTTTAACATTGGGCTTTGGAGATATGTCATTGTTGATATGACAACTGTATTTTGTTCACTTAACTGCCCTACATAGTTTATCCGTTTTTCAAGATTTGGAGTTGAGCTTATTTCCCTCTTTTTGCCATTGTAAACTCTGTTGCGTGGAGAATTTTCGTTTACGTGTTTTGTGCTCATCCACGAGGTCTCAGGCATCCACAGGGCCTTGGAGCTGCCAGGTACAGGTGGGTGCAAGTTCCTGGGTTGTTGCCTGCATCACTGCTTCTGAAATGGCTGTAGCCGTCGGTGCAAATCTCCTGTGTTTCACACTCTCACCATCATTGCTAGTATCAGACTTCGGTTCTTTTTGCCTCTCAGGTGATTATGAATTCTAATTCTCGGAGGACATGTAATAGAAAAATGTTATTGGAGCCCATTGGTTGGCCCAGCCGTGAAGAGTTTAACAAGACCATGATGATAGTGTGAATACTGAATATAGGATCACCCAAATATTATTTAAAAATGCAGTTGAAAGGTGAGGGATACGTGTGCATGTGTATGTGTGTTGGTGACCACCTACAGACCACGTTTCAGTCGTCCTCAGTAGGTAGTCAGTGTGACATGTTCTGAGATTGAGAAAAAGAAACAATGTATTGGTAAATACCAGGACTACAGGGCTGGGAAGATCCCAGGGTGATTGCTTCTGGGAGCAAGACTCAGCTAGGCAGGGTGCTGGTGTTTCCTCTCATAAGCCTCACTTTGACCTTGTTTTCTCCCCATTGTGTGCACATAGGAGCAATGGGGGTCCTCCACCAGCGTGGCCCTCAGCACCCTGGGGGCCTCCAGCCGACCTCCCCTCGGGCCCACCCTCAGCAGCAGAATGGGAAGCAGCAGATCCCCCACAGAGGAGCTTGGGGTGGCTGCCACCCTGCACTGCCACTGGAGCCCAAGTGCAGTGGCATCCCAGTGTCTCCATGAGCCATGTGGTCCCTCATGCTTTCTCCACTGTGCACACTCTCGTACACACCCTCTGCAGTGCAGCCTATGTCCCCCGAGAATGAAAGCATGGAGCCAGCCAGCACCGCATGGTGTCCCCCTCCCCAGTTTCTCTCCTCTTCCTTTTCTCCCTGCCTCCCCACTTAGTTTGCCCAAGAAAGGAGCAGCTGCTGAGGAATCAAGTGAAATGTGGAAGGGGAAGGGAAGGGGCAGGGATGGTTTGATGCAGACTGTGGGAAGAAAGGGCCTTGGCTGGGGACTGGGACTGAGACACAGGAGGTGAGCTTTGGGGTATGTTTTGGAAGCAGGCTCAACAGGACTGGGGGACTTTAGGGAGGCAGGGAAGTTAGACTGCGGTGGGACTGGGAACCTCGTTGTGTTTGCTTGGGGTTGGAGACCAGTTCCCAGCACAGCGCCTGACTAATAGCAGTTGTTTATATATTTGAGATGTGAATGCAGTAATGGCTGGATCATAGGAAAGTATTAGAGTTAAGCATAGATAAAACATTCTCAGTAAATTTGGCAGTGAAGTGACAGGGAGCAAAGATGTTAACTAGAGGAAGGTTAGTTTCTTGTTTTTATATTAATGTTAAATTTTATGGCTCTTGCATGCACACGTGTGTCTGTGTA